GAACGGGGCTGTTTTGGGTTAGGGTTAGGGTTAGGGTTAGGGTTAGGCAGGGGGACTGAACTGCCATTGGGCTTCATCCTTATGGGATTTTGACCAAAGCTTGTCACAGAAATTACATTAGGACACCAGGGAGCTATCTTAACTTGTTGAAATAGGGTATAATATGACTCCTTTGAGGGGCCGTGGGCTTTAAGAGCAGGGTTTTACTCACCATCCCCAACACGGCGGCCGCCTTACAGATGGCCGGGACCAGGTACTGGTTCAGGATCTCGTCCTCGGGCGGGTGGAGCTTCTGCAGCTCCATCAGGGTGGAGAACATCATGTCGAACTGGTTCCTCTCCGTGAACAGGTCCGACACTGCCAGCAGCTAAAGAGACGGAGGAAAGGGGCGTTTGGTCACCTGGGGCAAGACCCCCCCCCCCGAAGAGCTTTTTCCCTCCCAGACTGCATGTTAGGGATGTCCCGATCCAGCTTTTTGCACCGAACCCAGCCTATCAGAGCATGTACTAAAGTTTAAAGTTATTTATCTACTTGCTTAGTTGTCAGACTCATGTTGAACAGGGATTTACTCTGATAACAACTAGCAGCTGAATTAGGGGAGTTTGAATAACACACACTGGTTGGTAAAGAGACTCTGACCTGTTTATTCAGGGATAAAACAAAAAATAGGATAAAATTATAAATTATAAATAAACGGAAATGGCGTCAGTGAACAGTAAAAGGTGCAAATAATATTGTAAACTGTGTTAAAAAGGCAAAAGAAACAAACAACCTGAATAGAAAATAGTCCTTTAACTAAGTTTTACATCCACTTAAGGATAAAATAATCCCGCACAACTGACATTTTTACCGATAGCTTCAAACTAACCTCGTCGTCTTAATGGTTAGGACACAGACCTGTGGGTCAAGAGATGCTAATGCTAATGCTTAAAGTTGTGCTGGAAATTGACCGGACTGGATATTAGGGAACAACACAGCAAAGTGGGATGGATTATTTTAATCGGTAAACTTGAAAAACACGGATCTGACTTTTTTAAAAACTGGATCGGGATTTTCTCCTGCAGGCTGATTCCCATTTTTTGGGTGGAATTTTATATGTACATCAATATATATATATATGCTGTTTTATTTCTGGAGCTAGTAACAAAAATAATTTCCCTCTGGGATTATTAAAGTATTTCGGATTCTGATTCTATTATGTATATATTTATCTATATTCTTTGCAAATATCGGCAGCCGATCGGATCAAAATATCGGATCTGGACCAGCCTAATATGCAGTAATCCATAATATCATCAGCTAAGGGGGTTAGGGTTAGTTCAGAGTGGGAGAGGGCTCACCGATCGGACCACCTCACTGATGAGGATGGTGGGGGTCCTGCGGTTGCCCGGGGAGACGGGGATCAGCCACTGGCTGTAGAGCTCCAGCAGGAACTGGGAGCAGGAGTGGATATCCACACCGGCCCGGTGCTTCCTGGAGAGAAAAAGGAGAACATCGAATATAAAGCTTTGATCAGAAATTAAACGGGATCATTAGATGTGTCCTATCCTAACCCTAACCCGTACCTCTATCCCCCCCACAGCTCCTATCCTAACCCTAACCCGTACCTCTACCCCACCACAGCTCCTATCCTAACCCTAACCCGTACATCTACCCCCCACAGCTCCTATCCTAACCCTAACCCTAACCCGTACCTCTACGCCCCACAGCTCCTATCCTAACCCTAACCCGTACCTCTACCCCCCCACAGCTCCTATCCTAACCCTAACCCGTACCTCTACCCCCCCCACAGCTCCTTCTGTAGTCCCTCTACCTCTATCTCTATCTCACCACTGACTCTGATCAGTGTTTCTCCTCTGGATAGCTTATTGTCATAGTGATGAGAAATGTAATATTGTGTCTACTCTGTAAGTCGCTTTGGATAAAATCGTCTGCCAAATGCATAAACAGAAACAGAAACATTTGGCATCGTCTGACCTCGAGTTAAGGGGGGACAGAGGCGGGGAGACGGGCGCCGGAGTGTCTGCCTCATCCTCTTCATCTTCACCCCATTCTTCCTCCCTCAGAGGGGTGATGTTGTTGCCCAGCCACACAGAATGGATGGAAACCTGGAGACATAAAAGGTTTTTTATAGATAGCTTTAAAATTGACATGAATTGTCAATTGACATAAAACAGAGTTAACCCTTTAAAGCCTTATCCAAGAACAAAACAAAACAGAAAATTACTTCTTTTTTTTGTTTGAATTCCTTATTTGGCCTTTAAACAAAATATGTAAAAAGAAAAAACAGAAATACATTTTTCATATTAATAATTTATTACGATGTGATAAGTCAAGATTATTTTTTGTGTAGTCTTCTGCCCCCTGTTATCAGGTGTATCTGATTGTGTAAAATAGGATTTTGAGCTAAGTTTTTACCATTAAATTATGCAAAAGGTGTCAGACGCAAAACATTTCAGAAACCGTAGGTATCAAATATGATACATTTGGCATTACAGGGTTAATAGACTATTTCCCATTCAGAAGGTTCTGGGTTCTAGTCCCGGGGGAACCAGGACCTTTCTGGGTGGTTCTGCATGTTCTCCTGTGTCTGTGGGTTCTCTCCGGGTTCTCCGGCTTCCTCCCACCGTCCAAAAACCTGCATGTTAGGTTGTTGGACTCCAAACTGCCCTTAGTGTGAGTGTGTGTGGTTGTTGGTCCTTGTGTGTCTCTGTGTGTCCCTGTGATGGACTGAGGACCGTCCAGGGTGACCCCGCCTCTCCCCATTGGCTACTGGGATAGGCCCCGCCCCCCCCGACCCCATTAGGGAATAAGAGGCTGCGATAATGGATGGATGGATGGATTTTAAAAGTATTATCAATGTAAGTTTTACTTAATAGTATGTGGCTACATGTAATATGAATTATTAAAACAAAACTTCCATCAATTGCATTTCCCCCCACAGAACGTATCATTTTCTCTTCTTGGGCTCATTCAAAATGCCCCTGAAGTAAAGCGAAATAACCAATTGTATAATGTTGCTAGGGAAAATTAATAAATACCTACAACCGGACCCCCGACCCCATTAGGGGATAAGAGGTAAGGATAATTAATGGATGGATGGATTTCCTTTCTTTCTTCCCACTGACTCATACCTGCCCCAGCTTGTAATCCATGTTTCCCAGCTCCCTCTCGGTGTTGATCTGAAGGAGCAGTTTTTCGTGGCTGATCAGCGTCCCTGCTGAAATGAAACGAGGAGAGAAGACGGATAAACTCCACCGGTTCTGAGCGTGACAGATTTAGGATGAACCGGCGTGTTTCTGTGTTTCTCTGAGCGTGACAGATTTAGGAGGAACCGGCGTGTTTCTGTGTTTCTGGGACCTGCTGAGGCGGCGGACAGAGAGGGGACGGGGTCCCAGGCGTGGTACGGGTGGTGGGTGTGAACGTTGTCCCTCTTGGAAACCAGAGCCTGGATCTCTCTCTCCACCTCGCCCCGGATCACGGCCAGTTTACGCCCGAACCTGGACAGAGCGTTAAAAAGGGGGGATGAGGGGGTGAATATGGGACTGTGGAGGGCAGCTTTGAACAATCTGCAGCTCAATATGACAAAGACTAAGGAGATAATAGTGGATCTGAGGAGGGCCAAAACACCTGTACATCATCAATATGTACAACGCCTCCCTCAGAGAGTCAAACTAAATTATGGAGATTATCACTACCACTTATTTTAGACACACACACACACACATATAGTTATTTATGTGTGTGTATATATATATATATAGTTATTTATGTATATATTTATCTATATTCTGTGTGGAATTTTGTATATGTGTGTGTGTGTGTGTGTGTGTGTGTGTGTGTGTGTGTGTGTGTGTATGCTGTTGTTTTATTTATGGAGCTAGTAACAAAAATAATTTGCCTCTGGGATTATTAAAGTATTTCTGATTCTGATTCTATTATGTATATATTTATCTATATTCAGTGTGGAATTTTGTATATATATATATATATATATGTAAAAACCTATATGTATATGCTGTTTTACTTATGGAGCTAGTAACAAAAACAATTTCCCTCTGGGATTATCAAAGTATTTCTGATTCTAATTATCTAAATATTTATCTATATTCTGTGTGGAATTTTGTGTATTTATATATATATATATGTATAGACATGTATATATGTATATGCTGTTGTTTTATTTGTGGAGCTAGTAACAAAAATAATTTCCCTCTGGGATTATTAAAGCATTTCTGATTCTGATTATGTATATACGTATCTATATTCTGTGTGGAATTTTGTGTGTGTGTATATATATATATATATATATATGTATATGCTGTTTTATTTATGGAGTTATTAACAAAACAATAAAAACAAAATAAATAAATAATTATAAATAAAAAAAATAATGTCCTTCTGGGACTATTAAAGTATTTCTGATTCTGATTATGTAAATATTTATCTATATTCTGTGTTGAATTTGTATATATATATATAAATATATATATACTGTATATATGTGTATTTGTATAATATGCTGTTGTTTTATTTATGGAGTTATTAACAAAACAATAAAAACAAAAAAAATAAATAATTATAAATAACAAAAATAATGTCCCTCTGGGATTATTAAAGTATTTCTGATTCTGATTATATTTATCTATATTCAGTGTGGAATGTTGTGTATATATATATATATATATATGCTGTTGTTTTGCGTCCCGGTTTAATATGCGTATGCTACCGTGTGTCCAGGGCCTTGAGGCCCCTGCTGCGCGGCTGCTGCTCGGGGCAGCTGACGGCCGGGTTCCCGGCGGCCGGCAGCGCCATGGCGCTCAGCACCAGGCTGGAGATGGCCTGCACCGCCAGCACGCTCAGCTGCGTGCGCTCCAGGTCCTCCTGCACAGGACACACAGGGGAGGGGGAAATACTCAGCTATTATGTTTATGTTTAGGCAGGACACACAGGGGAGGGGGGAAATACTCAGCTATTATGTTTATGTTTATGCAGGATCAACAGGTGAGGGGGGAAATATACAGCTTTTTCTGCTTTTATTTTTATGCACGATCAACCAATAATTCAGCATTTTGCTGCTTTTAAGTTTATGTTTAGGCAGGATCAACAGATAAGAGGAAAAATATTCTGATTTTATGTTTATGTCTAGGCAGGATCAACAGATAAGAGGAACAATGTTCAGCTTTTTGCTGCTTTTATGTTTAGGCAGGATCTACAGATAAGAGGAAGAAATATACTCAGCTTTTTTCTGCTTTTATGTTTAGGCAGGATCTATAGATTAGAGGGAAATTATTCTACTTTATGTTTATGTTTAGGCAGGATCAACAGATAAGAGGAAAAATATTCTGCTTTTAAGTTTATGTTTAGGCAGGTACAACAGATAAGAGGAAAATATTCAGCTTTTTCTGCTTTTATGTTTAGGCAGGATCCACAGATAAGAGGAAGAAATATACTCAGCTTTTTTCTGCTTTTATGTTTAGGCAGAATCAACAGATAAGAGGAACAATACTCAGCTTTTTATGCTTTTATGTTTATGCACGATCAACCAATAATTCTGCATTTTGCTGCTTTTAAGTTTAACTTTACGCAGGATCAACAGGTAAGAGGAAAAAAAATATTCAGCTTTTTTCTGCTTTTATCTTTAGGCAGGATCAACAGATAAAAGGGTAAATGTTCTGCTTTTTTCTGCTTTTATGTTTACGTTTATGCAGGTACAACAGATAAGAGGAAAAATGTTCTGCTTTTAAGTTTCTGTTTATGCAGGATCCACAGAAAAGAGGAACAATGTTCAGCTTTTTCTGCTTTTATGTTTATGTTTATGCAGGTACAACAGATAAGAGGAAAAATATTCTGCTTTTTTCTGCTTTTATGTTTATGTTTATGCAGGACCCACAGATAAGAGGAACAATATTCAGCTTGTTTCTGCTTTTATGTTTAGGCAGGATCAACAGATAAGAGGGTAAATATTCAGCTTTTTTCTGCTTTTATGTTTATGTTTAGGCAGGATCAACAGGTAAGAGGAAAAATATTCAGCTTTTTTCTGCTTTTATGTTTATGTTTCTGCATTTAGCAGACGCTTTTATACAAAGCGACTTACAAAGTAGACACAATTTTACAGCTATCATCAATATGACAATAGTTCTCTAGAGGAAAATCCCCAGTCAGAATCAGTGGTGGCAGCAAGAGAGAGAGAAGGAAGCTCAGAAAGAGGAGTAGAGGGTCCAGAGGTCTGGGGAAGAGTCAGGATAAGAGATGCTCTTTGAAGAGGCATAAAGCTTTTATTGGGCATATGACATATTAATACTGATCAATTCATCCATTACCCTTGGTCAAGTGTTAAACTGTTCAAAAATCTACATCATAAAATGCATTTTTCTGTCTATCACACGCCAAAATCTGGTTTTAGGGTTGTTTCGATGGGTGGCTTTAATCGCTCTTTAATCAGAGTTCAGTCAGAGAAAAATGTTCTCAAAGTTAGAGTTATCGATCACAATAGCATGTTTATGAGGAGAGAACATCTACTCAGTCTTTTAAAGGGATATCTAAAGCTGATTAATGTGATTTTCCTCCATTTATCACGATACAATTTCGTCTCACTGATTAGTCATTCAGACGCGTTTTCTCCCTTGTTTCTCACCTCCTGTTGCGTCTCCTCCTCCTGGTCCATGGTGATGGGCTGGGTGACCAGCACCCCCAGCAGAGTGGCCCACGTCTCTTCAAACTGCGTCCTGCTGCTCCACCCTAAAACAAAACAAGCAGGCAGGAGAGGAAACGTCTCAGTCAGTCCCTCATGATAAGTTTCAGAATTAAATGATCGTATTTTCCGCACAAAAAGGAGGAAAGTCGGACTAAAAGTCAATGCATGGTCTATTTTTTTAAATGTTCATATTATAAGGCGCATAGAATAGAAGCTCCAGTAGAGTCTGGGTCTGCGTTAGCATCCACCAGAAGCAGCTACGCTAAAGAGAAGGTCAACAAAACATTCAGATAATCAGTCAGACTTTATTAAAAGAACACAAACCAGCGTTCTCACGACTTTGTTTCCTCCCAAAATGAATAAACAGCTGTTTTATTATTTTTCCCACGCTAATGTCAGTGATGTGGTGTTTTAGGGACACAGTTTATCTCTTAACAACAACAAAGTATAACAGGTAGAGAAGCATCTTTATCAGGTAGTAGAGGGGAACCGTTCCTCCATTCAGAAACAGTCTGATGCGTTTTGGTAAATCAAACGTTAGCGCATCACAATATATAGCAGCTAGCATTTTTTTCTCGTAAAAAAACAAAACCGCCGGTATAGAAATATTTGAACCACCTGTTGTCGTAGTTAGGATCAGATTCAACGTTTACCTTTAACGTCCACATTTTTTAACAGCCGCCTTCTCTCAATGTGTCGACTTTTAAAATGGGGACTAATACATATGTACATTGTGCAGTACTGAGGATCCCCAGAAGGTGGCGCCTTTTTGCCGTGCACTACTTCTTTTACTTCTACTTCTTCTAGGGGATAAAATGGAGTCTGCGGCTGCTTCCCATAGTTGCTAGTTAGACCTGTTGCAACTCTTTCCTGATCAATATATAAGGCTCACTGTCGTTTTTTGGGAAAATTGAATGTTTTTAGATGCCTTATAGCGTGGAAAATACGGTATCAGTGGCTCTGTTATGTTGAATGTTGTCTACATTTTTCTTCGTCCTTTAATGCTTCAGAACTTTTAGCTGCCTTATAGCGTGGAAAATACGGTAATATAAATCAGAGCTCCGATATACTGAGTGTCAAACGGTTATGAACAGCATACCTAGCGTGTTTATTCGGTATAGAAACTCTCTGAAAACGTCCTTCTCCTGTAGGAAGTCCACCGGGATCTCAGGCAGCGTGGTGCCGAACTCTCCTCCTGGCTGGGGGGACCAGCCCAGTTTCCAAACCTGAAACCAACACAGGCTCTTATTAACCCAGTGCTCCTCAATTATTTTTTGTTACGCCCCCCCTAGCAAGAAGAAAACAATTCGCTCCCCCCACTCCCCACTGTGACCATCCATCTCTGCATAACATTTTATCCTTATTAACATTAAAGAAAATAAAAAAAGAAAGACATATAGTCAAACTTACAAAGAATAATTCTATTAAATCGTGTTTTAAGTCTGCAACAGAAA